AGATCCTTGTGCCACTCCCTCCCAGGAAAAGACCCCCAGATGAGCCTTCTGGCCGCCAGTCCCCCACCATAGACCACGGCTCAGGCTGCGGACTGGTGTCTCTTCCCAGGGACGCTGTCCATGCTGCAGTGCAACATCTTCCCAGGGCTGCCACCCGACTTCCTGGACTCAGAGGTCAACTTGTTCCTCGTGCCCTTCATGGACAGTGAAGCCGAGAGCGAGAACCCACCTCGAGCAGGTAGCTACTCTTAGGGACATCTGGCCACAGGGAGACAACCTGCCCTAGGGTCGGGAGAACTCGCTGGCCTGCCACTGTGCTGGGGCCTTTCTTGGGATCACGTTCAGCATCGGAGAGGTTCAGGAACAGCTGGTCCAAGGCAGAACTCTGAAGACCCATCCCCCATTTTAGGGCCTGGTTCTAGTCCTCTTTTCTCGCTGCTGCCTGGGTACCGAGGCCACCCCAGCTTCCAGTCCTTGGTTAGCAAGCTCCGCAGTCAGGTGATGTCCATGGCGCGGCCTCAGCTGTCGCACACCATCCTCACCGAGAAGAACTGGTAAGAGTTGTTTGGAGTGCATTTGAGTGCCTGAAGGGCACTCTTGCGGGGGGGGGGGGGGGGGGGGGGGGGGGGGGGGCACCTCAGTAAGCCCTGTCTCTCCAGTCCTTGCTAAACAACACTTACCCAGGACCAGCAGCACGGAGTTTTGTGTGACTAACTCGTGGGTCTCAGCTGGCTACGGGGTTTTTTGTTTGTGTGTTGTTGTTTTTTGTTTGTTTGTTTTCTGAAAGCCTGTAGTCCGGAGACTAAGGGGGGGGGTCATTATGAGTTCAAGGCCAGCTTAAGCAACACAGTGAGTTCAAGACCAGCCTGATCTACAAAGCCTTCCTTATCTCAAAAACAAAAGTTTAGGTTCAAAGAAATGTCACATAGCAAAGTCACACACTTATCGTATGATGCCAGGAGAAGGACCTGGACTCTGGTTAGGCTGGAGATCTGTTCACGGTCATGAGACTCTTTGTTAGCCGGGCGGTGGTGGCGCACGCCTTTAATTCCAGCACTTGGGAGGCAGAGGCAGG